GAGAGGTAGGAGGTTTTTTTCTGCCATCCCTCTGCCTCCCTTTATTTCTCATCAAACATTTGGTCTTTGAAGTAGTTTAAATTTGGTTAAAAGTGGAAAGTGTCAATGCAAGCTTTTGATTATAACAGATCATCATTTTCCATTAAAAATCCACCTTATAAAAAACATTCTGAACCAGTTTCTATTCTAGTACCATCAGGGAGGGGAAAAGGAATGCACTGTAATTGAAAGCAGTCCCCAGTAGTTACAGTGCTGCAAAAGCCATCTCTGAGTTTTATTTCAGGCCTACGTTCCCTTGGGCTGTTTGCTTGTAGTGGTGTCAGGGTAATAGCACTACATAGTACAAAAACCACTCTGTATGCATATGAGCATCATAAAATGCTGGGGATCAACTGACTGAATTATATACGTTGCTCTTCTGGGGACACAGAAGAAGTTTTCCTGCAAGTTACGTGTAGCTGTTGTTGCATGCTACACCTTTAGGAAATAAAAGCATTAAGGGAGGACACAGCTGTTGTTTCAGCTAAATTGCTCTGGAAGCAACCAACTGCAATACCTATCTGCATCATTAAAAATAATTTAAGTGTGGTGACAGGTGGAAAATAACTATGTAAGTTGAATCTTTGGTAGATTTTGTGTAAAGGGGAAAGGGGAAGAACATCTGAAACCTAGTTCTGAATTGCAGGATAAACTGTATGCTAACTATAGGAAGAAACAGATTCTTATTTGACCACTGAATTAAAATTATTTTTAGCAGCTTTCATCAACATACCTTTTTTATAGAATGTACACTTGTAACTGAGTATTCATCCTTTTCCCCCAGTCCTTCATTTTTCCTAATATTTAAAAAGAGATCAAATTTGATAAACATTCTCGGTCACCGCTGAAATTAAAGTAGAAAAGGGCTATTGAGTCATCCAGTCAGATCTCCTCCTAAATAACATTTGATTAACTTTTTACTTGTAGGTGCTTAAGAGTTTGTTTTGTTTTTTTTTTTTTTGATTGCCAAAACTCTCAACAAACGAAACCCTAAAAACCAGCTGCTGTGACATTGAGGTGTTTGATTTGTGTGAGATGATTATGCCAGACTTTCTGCTTTTCCATTTTTTTAGTAATTATGCTTCATTGTAGAAGCTGCCAGTCTGCAATGCAAGGTAGAGAACAGCTGAACAATTAAAACTTGGTTGTAGTAAAGCATGAATGAGTTTGTAACACATGTTCACGTTTAAGAAAGAGGCATTCTATATTTATTTGATGGTAATGATAAATTGTTGTTGGTTTTCTCAGTCTACAAGTCAAAAGGCAAGTTTTAGCACATCATCCCTCAGTCTGGGCTTCTCTGCCCCACCTCCCACATAACAGCCCCATGACAAATGCCATGTTCAAGGCACAACCCCACCTACTGGTAGAGGAAGGGAGCGTCTCAAAATAGCCCAAAATCTAGTGTAACTAGCTAGAGCTTTCCCACTGACCAGAGAGGTTAGCGAAGGTGCAGATTAAAAATCTTAATTCGAAAACAGGCCTCTTAATATTCAGTTTATATTTATGTCAAAAGCTGTTGAGACATACAGTAGTTTTATGATAACTAACAATGGGAAAATGTTATAAGTCTTGATTTAGGTAAGTACCAGAAATATGGATGTTTATCTATCCTACACAAACCTCTTGAGCTTTGCAAAATTTCTGGTTCCTCAGGCCTTGAGGAAAGCTAGACATGTATTTTAATTCTCTGTTTTGTTCCCACTAGACTCCACAAGACCAGAGAAAGAAAATTACTCATTAATTTGAGTTTCCTCACAGAAGAGTAGTTTAGGTTGTGTTGGGGTTTTTTTTTGTTTGTGGGTTTTTTGGTGTTTTTTTTTTTGTTTGTTTGTTGGGTTTTTGTTTTATTTTTGTTTGTTTTCCTGTCTGCTTTACTCATTATTTTGGTAGCTACAAAGCTAGAAGAGACCTATGTGTTTGCCTTAATAACATAATTCACATGTGGATCACGTGAATCTTTTAGGTCTTTGGTTTTTTTTTTGGTGCAAATTGCATGAATTTTCAGTTTTTTATTCTAATCTGTGAGGTTAGTAAGCTTCTGTGGCAAGCTTAATGATGGATGCCTTGGAGACCTGTGCACTAATTATGCTCTGAATTTTTTCTCAGACTGCCTGGCTCTTTGTGGTAAGTTGTGACTTGATCCCAAGCATCAAACATTACCAGCTCAACTGTAATGAAATAAAAAGCTGCTTACTGCATGACATGAAAAGGCTGAAGTTAGCAGTTTTCACATGATGATGTTAAGCAGGTTTGGAGCCAGAATGCCGCTGAACTTGGCAGTTTCCTTGTTAAGATACTTTAATCAATACCACTGCAATTTTTTCTCAATGCTAGAATTCTGCCAAACATCTGGCTGGGAAGCTGCCCTCGGCAGCTGGAGCACGTGACCATCAAGCTGAAGCATGAGCTGGGTGTTACAGCTGTGATGAACTTCCAGACCGAATGGGACATTGTTCAGAATTCCTGGGGCTGCAACCGCTATCCGGAACCGATGAGCCCTGAAATCCTTATGAAACTGTACAAAGAGGAAGGTCTTGCCTATGTCTGGATGCCAACCCCTGATATGAGCACTGAAGGTGATAATGCTTAGGCCATTCTTGTGGTAAATTCATAGTAACAAACCCTTTGAACTACTGATCTGTCACTTTCATGAATAGTTCAGGGTTTTCTTCTGTTTAGGTTTTGCATAAAGATATAGCTAACACACAAGGTACAATTTCTGTGTGTATTGTCTTTAACAAATTATTCATGTTTTCTTCTAGGCAGAGAGGCCATCTAAAGCACTTTGTGTCTGACAGTATATATGTATTTGAGTTTAAAGCCATCTGACATTGATAACTGTTTGACTGATTTTGCTTTCAGCTTGAATTCAGCCCATGTAATGAAAGTATGCTCTGTATGTGGAAGACTGCAAGCTTGCACAGCAGGACAGCTTGCCTTCCTTGCTGGTTAAAAATAAAGAGACAGTGCTGTATGTCTGGCTCTGCTATTCCCTTTTCCCCCAGAGTAGTTTTTCTTTAACTGTAGTACCCCAGTCTGATGAATCTATGTAGTGTAATTTATATAATTATTTTTAATTCATTTAGAATATGCATAGCATCTGATGTTGTAACATAAATTACTATTTTTAATTCCTCTGTTGGGATGCTCAGAGTTCAAAATCTTGTTTCCAACCAGCAGGTTAGAAAGTGTGCATGTTGTCAAGTCAGTAGCCTACCAGCAGAAGAGAGTGATTTCAACAGAGTAAAATACTGCTGCCACAAATAGAGCTGTCATATCAGTAATAGGACATCAGGAGAGACAGGAGACCTTAAAATAGGGATTTGAAAGGGCTTCATGTCAGTGCTAATCTGTGCCATGAGGAAGAGTTAGGCTCTGATGTTTCAGTTCCCAGGGTAACAGTGAGAAAAGGTGTCAGAAAATACGGTATATTCATCCCTATGGGAGTGAGAAAAACTATTCTGTGTTGTTTAATCATATGCTTAGTATACAATTAAATTGTATCAGTATTAGGTTGACAGGAAAATACTCTTTTGCTCTCCTTCCCTTATTATTGACATAAAGGCCTTATATTACAACGTTTTGAAAAGCAATAGTATTGAGGTAGCTTCACAAACCTCTGGTAGTGAAAAATAACATTTAATCTTTGGCTTACTAACTTCAATGCTATGTAAGATGCACTGTTTGATGTAGTTTGCTGCCTTGTCTCAGTCACTGTGAAAACAAATATGCCACACCCCCCCCTCCCCCCAGTGTTAATCAGAATGTATATTTAGAAACGACTTGGGGCATTTTATATATTTTTTGTGATCTATGATTGCAGATTGAGTTTATGTTGCAAGAAAAAACAAAGTTAGGGTAGAAGGTCATTTGAAAAAAACCCCCAAATGCCTCAGTATGTCAGGTTTGCCATTACAATTCACAGTTCATCAGGCTGTACAGGCATAATCTCAACGGTGAACTTAACTTTCTCAAACGCAAATCAACATATCTTGTTTTTAACCTTAGGAAGAATACAGATGTTGCCACAAGCTGTCTGCCTCTTGCACGGGCTACTGGAGAATGGACACACTGTCTATGTTCATTGCAACGCTGGTGTTGGCAGGTCTACAGCTGCTGTCAGTGGCTGGCTGAAGTACGTGATGGGATGGAGCCTGCGGAAAGTTCAGTACTTCTTGGCTTCCCGGAGACCTGCTGTCTACATAGACGAGGAAGCTCTTAATCGTGCTGAAGATGATTTCTACCAGAAATTTGGGCATCTTCGTTCCTCATGCAAAATACAAGAGTAGAAAAGCAGAAGAGGAAAAGGACGGTGAAGAGGAATCCTTACATTTGAACCCCAAGGACTTAGAAATGATGAGTTGGATACCTGCCTCTCCTCTCCAGATTATAAACTTGTCATAAAAGTTGTGAGAATTTTGTTAAATAAGTGCCTTTGAGGTTATTTTATTTGCTTTCTTTAAGCTGATATGTTTCATGTTTTCAAGCCTTTTGCTGTAAGTGTGAGACCTAGAAACTCTGCAAAGGGGAACTAAGATTTTCTTTAACTGCTTGCCTACAGGAACTGAGGTTTTAGGGTATAGACTAAATATGATGTGAGGAGAAACAGCTAGAGTTGGCAATATTTCAGTGACAAGAAAGAGAAGGCATTCTCAGAAAAACAGATGCAAAGTGCAACTAGATGAAGGTTCAGGTTAGGATGGAGCTGATCATTGTCGAAACTGCTCAGTTGTTTTAGGTGGAGTGTACATTATTGAAGTGTTTGCTGTTAATTTTGTAGACAAGTAGTATTAATGAAATAGACCAGAAGGAAACTTATTTTTCAACTCAGTTTCGTAAAAAAAAAAGCTAACATCTAACACAGTGAATTAAAATTTGCTTTCTTTGCCTATCTAGTTAGTGTTAAATACTGTAACTTATAGATATATTCTTTTATGCCATTGGGGTTATGGTGGGATGTGGCATGAAGAGAGGAGTCAGCTCCACTTATTGCAGTCCACTCTGTTGCAGGGAAGGACTGCTATTTATTATGTTATCCGAGGCTGTGAGATCTCTAAGTTAAAGATACTTTTTGCTCCTCAGGTCCATGCAGTGCTGTACACGCAGCTGTCTGGGTGCTAAGTCAATCTAAGCAGTAACCACTGGGCTAAAACAAGACCTGTAGGAACTGTGTGACAAGCTTAGATACATGATTGACACCACAGCCTCTGTATTGTTGTCCTAGATTAATTTAGTCACTATAGCAAAAGTCTCTCGTTGTGCGAGCAGTGTGTGGATGTTTACAGATGCTAGATTTAGCCAACTGAAGCTATCTCTGGGGTAACTGAATGAATACATTCTTCTGCAAGAGCAAAGAGCAATTCTGAGGAGGTTTTCTCAGGAGCTTGGCCTCAGTAGGCTGATGTTGGCTTTTGGAAGATCCCTAATGTTTTCTAGTGCTGCTTGCTCCCTTAGCTAAACTAAGCAGTGGTACCAACACCTTCCAGCCCTACTCAAGTAAAACCAGGTGAAAAAAAAAATGGTAAGTTAAGTTCAAAAGAAGGGAGAGAAAGCATTTCCTAAGGAACAGAGGATTAACAGTGTATCAATATCAAGAAACCTAGTTTCTGTAGGTTTATTCTTCAGTGAAATCTCATTTTTTCCACACAACTTGTTCCTCTAAAGACCCAGTCAGTGCCAGAGTAGTTCAGCTGATATATATTGATTATCTGAATACTTAATGGAGAAACTATTAGATATGAACTGTTTATGGAGAATGTCCAGAATATAATACATTTTATTTATCCTATACTTCAGTCATCTTCAAAATGAAAATATTTAAGTTATCCTATATGTGTGGTTTTGATCATGACTTTGTTTCTGATTTTTTGAAATAATACTGCCTGTTTAGGAAGTGGATGAAAGTCGTTCTCTGTTAAATAAAAACGTGATGACAATTCCAGGAGCCCATTTTTTCATATGGCTTTGTCTCTGAATTTCGTGAGTAGCAAAGAGGGTCATGACTGATATTTCTATATAGAGGTGGGACTAGCCACTCTTAATAGTAACAGCTCATTTCCTGTCTGCTCATTTCTCATCTGCTATGGTGTGTCAGTTTTGATGGGCTGTTGTGGAGGGACTCTCAGCACAGCAAAGATGTGTGGATGATATGGCACTTCTGGCATCTCCAAAGACAAAAGAAAGAGGTCTCTTCTAGCCTGATGCAGAGAGCAGAGGGAATGTGTCAGTGCTGCTGTCTGGCTTTTGGGCTCTTGTGTGGATGTGCAGAGCTACAGCTGACTGTGCAGGAGTTACCTTGGTTCGGCTGAGTTTAAGGTAAAAATGGTGACCTTTTGCTACCATATGCCTCTCAAAATCAAGTGCTGAGAGGAGGAGGATGTCGTAAGAAGTAGAGGGTAGAATTTGCTTAAGTTTTATATTTCTGTTGAGATCCATTTGAAACCCCAATCTTAAAATGTGTTTCCAAGCATTCCTGACTGACAGTCCTTTCCATCAGATGCACCTTGTAATATATGTTGGGACAAGTACTTGTGGATTTGGTTTTGTTTCACACCTAACTATATTTCTCCTTTAGACCTCTTGGGACTGAACAGTGCAAAACCTGACACAAACAAGTAAATATATGACTAAGTAGGTATAGCTGTGCTGTATCAGTTATTCCCTAATTCTGATTTTATCGGGAGTGGAAGCAGGGCAGGAATTCAAACAATACAGAAGCCACAGATTCATGGAAGCCCTAGCAAGGGGTTGTTAATTCATTGTTTACTGTCATTTCAACAAGGAGTTGTTGACTCATTGCTTATTGTCATTTCAGTTTGCTTGACTGCTGAAATGCTGGGGGCTATATCATATACAGATTGCATTAGCTGGTGAACTGCATGAAAACAACTTGCCAACATCATGTTAACAAAGAATGCAAAGAGATCCTATGGCTTGAAGCCCTTTTGTGCCTATTTATTTGTAGCATACTTCTTTTCCTGATGGCCACTTTCCTGCCTTCCTCATTGGAGGTCAGCCTGTTGACTAACATTCATTCAAAGTCTTGTTTGTTGAATGCAACTAGGAATTTAAATGCTAAACAGATCATTCCAAGAGGCTACAGCAACAAAAAAAGCAATCATATAAAAATATTCCATTTCTCCAGCTTTATAATTACATGATAAATCTGCATCTAGAGATTATCTATTAAAATTCCAATTTGTAATATGTTCTTATGATGTTTGGATCATTAGCTCTTTCCATAGACTAGTCTCTTGATGCAATTTGGATGGAAGGATGAAAACATTCTGTTGTTTATATACTTGTATATTTCCTTGCTACTTTAGTCATAAAGTGCTAAAAAATTTAGAGAAGAATATCTCTTACAGAAAGAATTAGAAACAGATAAACAGTAAAGGTTTTTTTAAAGTGGGCCCAAGAAGCCAAACTAATACACAGATGATAATGGGAACCTGGTAGAAATATTTTGATAACTCATTGCTGAAAAGCATCAACTTGGGGAAATGGTTTTCTGCTGGTATGAGCATCTGTATTTTCTCCCCTGTTACAGACAGGTTTTTATCTCCGTGAAATTAAAGAAGAAAACAGCATTTGCTGCACAAAATGGGAACATTTATGATTCCAAGTACTTAGAGTATCTCAATGTCATTATTAGGCCAAACAATAGTATATATTCTTTCCCAGGACTATATGTGTGAAGAAGCTAAGCAATACTAGCTCTTACAAGTGATTTTGTAACAAACACAGCCCCTTGAGGGATGAGCTGGGCTTGAGTGGTACAGTTTTGTGAATATTTTTTTCCTTTGACTGGGCTGGCTGGCATGACGGTTGAATAACTTCGTTTCTTCTTAACTCCTTAGTTCACACTTTCAACTTCAGTCTCTTTGGCACTCATCTGCTCTAGCTGCTTAGGTTGTAAGTCTATGATCTTCTCTCTATATAGCACCAAGCACAGTGAAGCTCTGGATGTGGCTGTGATTGCAGGTTTGTATACCAGGCTGTACTCCAGAGCGGCTGGAAAGTCTGACACCAGAGTTGTGTGTGCTGCATGAAAACATGTGCAAAAGAGTGTCTCTGCTCTGGAGTGGAATTAAATTTTGAGACCGACAGCCAAGCTCTTGCAGGCAAAGATAAAGGAACGAGGCAGGAGCAGGTAATAAAATCCCAATTTAAAACAAGCATGCAAAAAGCCAGACTTACTCCATTACCTCCTATGATGGTCTTTTTGAGTTCTAATTTATAAACCCCTCTGACTTCAGTTCTCTGTAATTGAGAAAAAAAAATAATTATTTGAAGAAGCCAAAAAACACTTGCCAAATCTGTTGCTTCTTTTATTCTTCATCATTAAATTGCAATGAGAGGTTTCAAACCAGTGATAAAGTTAAAAAAATATAAATGGTTCTTTAAAAAAATACAGTGGGACTGTGCAACAAGAAACATATGAAGAAATATTTAGATGCATAATAACTATTGCAAAAGCATATATTTGGCAAGCAAGCCCTACCTTCTTGAAAGATAATGAACATCAGACTGCCCTTAGCTAAAATGGAATTGGATTTATGTAGCAAAGGACAGAATATAGATGACTTTCTCAAACTCTAACTGTTTACATTCTCAGTGGTAAATCAACACCTCTGCAGTATTTCTTTAAAAATACTCTGCTGGAAAAAAAAGTGGTTTATTTTCCTCATGTATATACAGCTTAAAGGGAAAGGGGCTGCTCTGAGGGAGCAGACTTTGGAATGGTGGAAGTATAAAGGAATTAATCCTTTTTCAGTTGCTCAGCAACACAATGACATCACCAGCAGCAAGACCAAACCATATGACTTCATAATTTACCTTCTTCCTGAATTAACAGAGGAAAGCAATTTTTTTCAAGGGTAATGATGTTACCATACATTAGCATAATGGCATGGTTGTGATATAAGCAACCCAAATACATGTTGTTGACTTTTCAATTTTTCTAGCAGTGAACCTATAGGGTGTTTATTCTTAATTAGACGTATTTTCCTCTTGGACTGCCCTGTCACCTCAAGTTCCTTCATTCCAGTCTTGATTGTTTACAAATGGGATTGTAGCTAACAATTGTCACATTTGTAAAGATGAGTAATAAGTGTTTTATTAAAACTTTTTATATATCAAGGCTTGTCTGGGGATAAGGAAATAAGACCTATTATACCCTGTAAATCAAGGAAGATGACACTGTGATCCTTAGCCCTATATAATTCAACCTTTTTGTGCTTAAACATGTCTTATTTGGGAAATTGAATTTATAAAGATTGATGGATAA